AAGGATATTCCCAATGTACAGGTGGTAGAAGACCTTGCTGAGAGAGTAATCTCATCCCACTTCCTATCACAAGATGGTGCAGTCAATTCATGTGCTTCAATGTACAACGTTCTGCAACAAGGCATTGATGTGATCCTGGGCAAGGTCTTGTCAAGTTCCTGTAGCAGTGAGTGGATTATTTCACCATCATTGATTACAACACTGGGTATACCACGGTGCGAATGGAAACATGTACCAACTGCTATCAGTCGCTCGGTCAATGTCAATGACAACAATACCACTGTGTATACTTTTCAGTTACAACGGTACCTGTACTCCATGGATGATGACACAGTAACCACACTACTGGACATGTACTTGGGTGGTATGTACAACACCCGGTACATACCCTTGGTAGTTAATGGAAGGGCACACACAACTCCATTGGGTCTCACTCTACCAGCACGGCATCCCTACAACATTGTGATGGACTATGTCAGGAGATGGTGTCATGGCTCAAATCCAGCAGATCGCACAACAGCACTGATTAACAACTGTAGCCAGAACAAGGTACCTGATGTGGAAGTGATGCAGTCTTGTATACAGACAGCTAGAACACTGCTCAGGATTGAGGTAAGCTGGTAGTGCAGTGTTCACAATTCAGGTTACCATAACTGTTTTTCATTCACACTCCACTCTGAATGGAACATTGTATTGCAAACCAGTGTACTCAGTAATTATCTACTGTATAGTGTCTGTCTCTCTAAGGTAGATTTCTTGAAGAACACAGAGGGGAATGTGATAATTTTGAACATTGTCAACTAGTGAAATGGAATGTGTAGCTTTCCGCTATATCAGTCTGATTTGTTATTATTGTGCATGATGTTCTCTGTTTCGAGTGTACTGGCTTCAGTTACTTTCTTTTCTACACTTTTCTTTGTTGTGTGCTTTGCTCTAGAATACGATCTTTGCACTTGTAGAAATGTCCAAACTCTTCCCAGCGTTGAAGTCATTAGTTAATGATCTCAGTGCTTACCTGCCAAGAAATTGTGCAACTGGTCTCTCAGTGTCTGGAATTGTGTACTCAGTACCACCACAAGCTGGAGACGATACTCTACTATACTACTCTCTCATTGCTGCCTTGCATCGTCAATCCAAGAGAGGCCAAGTGAGAATTGATCACCACATTGCACTACTGGAATGGTGTCCAGTTGTAGCAGCATGTTTTGTCTGCTATGACCTGGACAACATCACAGCATGTCCTCGTTGTGGCATGGCTTACCTGTGTGGCAAACATCGTCAAACTGATGAGCCCCTAAGTGAACACAACCAACACTGTGCTATGCTGGCAGCACTCAGACATCGCATACTACAGTAAGTTAGAGTGATGGCATCATACAAGAGTGTGTGCACGTGTGCCGTGTGCTGTGTGCTGTACTCGTATGTCAGTAATTTAACAGTACAACAGAACCACTGCTGTGTGCTGTACTCGTATGTCAGTAATTTACCAGTACAACAGAACCACTGCTGTGTACTGTACTCGTATGTCAGTAATTTAACAGTACAACAGAACCACTGCTGTGTGCTGTGACAGGGGTGAACTTACAGGGTGGTACTTGTACTAGGTCTTTGATTTTGGCAATGTTCAATAAATGGTATGTTCCAACAGTCTCTGTCTCTGTCTCTTTATCTCTCTGTTTTTGTCTCTGTCTCTGTCCCTGTCTCTTTCTTTTTCACTCTCTGCCTGTCTCTCTCTCTCTCTCTCTCTCTCTCTCTCTCTCTCTCTCTCTCTCTCTCTCTCTCTCTCTCTCTCTCTCTCTCTCTCTCTGTCTGTCTGTCTGTCTCTCTCTCTCTCTTTCTCACTCTCTCTCTCTCTTTCTCTCTCTCTCTATCTCTCTGTCTCTCTCTATCTGTATCTCTGTCTGTCTCTCTCTGTCTCTCTCTCTCTCTCTCTCTCTCTCTCTCTCTCTCTCTCTCTCTCTCTCTCTCTCTCTCTCTCTCTCTCTCTCTCTCTCTCTCTCTCTCTCTCTCTCTCTCTCTCTCTCTCTCTCTCGCTCTCTCTTTTCTCTTTCTCAAACATAATTGCCAACGCTCCCATGCACCCGCCTGCACGTACGACGTCCTCATGCACACATACACACATTCACAAGCAATTGACACATTGGGTTGGGGGTGGCCTGACTTCTTTTAGAAAAAGGATGTTAAAAGAACATGCGCAATGCTTTAAGTAATTTATATAATAGTATGCGATGATAAAGAAAGTAAATTATCGTGTCCGTTCCCAAAGGGAACTCACCACGGGCCCTAACACCCAGGAAACCCTAGCGGCAGATGCAGCACGTGGCATTGGGGGTGAGGGGATTCGTCTCACAACTACTGGCACGAATGCCGAGGAACCCCGTTAGCCGCAGCTATGATATGTCATGATTGACCGGTTCCAAAGAAGCAAGAGACAATAGCTGTGCCAAATCATCACATCTGATCGTCAGCAACTCACACTGCCCACTGGGGGCAGGCGCACAAATGGCCGACCGTGGGCCGATGACATGAGCGGCCACCGAGGCCAACAGCCAGCCCACTGAGGGCTAAATGATCCTGCCCACCGTGGGTCGCTAGCATACTGCCCGCCAATTGGCCGACGCGGCCAGCAACCTGCTCGCCGAGGGTGCATGAATGGCTGCCGAGGCTAACAACTTACCCATCAAGTGTTTTAAAAGCATACAGCCCAATCGAGGGCGCACGAATGGCTGCTGAGACCAGCAACCTGCCTACCGAAGGCTAACGCAAACAGCCCAACCGAGGGTGCACGAATGGCCGCCCAAACCAGAGACCTGCCTACCGAAGGCTGAAGCCTACAGCCCAACCAAGGGTGCACGAATAAGCACACAGCCCCTACGAGGGTGCACGAACGGCCGTTGAGGCCAATAACCTGCCCCCCCCCCCCCCAGCCCAGGGTTAAAGCAAACTTCCGGCAAGGGGTAAAGCGTAGTGCCCAACGAGGGCTAGAGCATACTGTCCACCGTGGGTCACTGATGATCATATACCACCTACTGAGGGCTGAGTCGTACTGCCTATTGAGCCAGCAAACAGCCACCGAGGCTGAGAACCTACCTTCCAAGGGATAAAGCATACTGCCCAGTGGGGGCGAACGAACGACCAACAAGGCCAAGAGGCCAATTGAGTCATATTTCCACGATTCCTTTTGAATTTCTCTCTCCCCTCACGGGGAGACTGACATAACCATTTTAGGCATGTGTTAGTGCATGCGTTCTGTCAGGTGTGCGTGTGTTTGTTGTGGGACGTTAAGTCGGAAGAGCCACATTGCTTGTACTCATTGCAACCTACCATTCAGTTTGTTGTAAGAACTGAAATGTCCTATTAATAGTATTGCCTCTCTGAAAGGACTCGACATGTTTTGAGAGTTGTCAATGTGTGTGTGTTTGTGTGTGTGTGTGTGTGTGTGTGTGTGTGTGTGCGTGTGCGTGCGTGCGTGCGTGTGTGCATGTCTGCATGCATGGATGTGTACGTGTGTATGCACCCTCTCTGTTGTACATTCTCCAGGGATAGGTGAGCTTCTGAGGATCTCTACTGGATAGTATTTAGCAGTTGAGATTGGTGAAAGTGACCAGCACTGGACAGGGATCATTTCAAGCAGCTACTGCAGTAAGAGATACTCCAACAGCACACTACCTGTCATTGATCACAACACTGTGACATCACTTGTATAGACATGATGTATACAGATTGTCTATGACACACACAGTGTTGTGTTACTATGTAGATATAATGATCAACTGAACTACATGTACTGTCTAGTCCAGTCTACTGTGGTATCAGTTTTACTGAATGTGTTCATGTCTACTCTCACCTACTGTTTTTACACTAGTCACTGTACAGAATAGTTGCCGGTATGTCAGTTAAACCTGGAAAACTCTACTCTACAAATGTTTATACTGCAATGTATATTGCCATAGCAGTGTCAGCCATACCCTGTACATACAAGTTCATGCTACTATCTTTGAGATACACATCATATTTTACTCCAGTATTGAAATCTAGCAACACTGCTAGCATTCGTTTGGCAAGCAAGAAATACCCGTTGTCTGCTACCATGCCAAGTCATGAAGCATCGTGAATGTAGCCATGGTTCGACCCAAGCACACACACACTGCAGCTCCTTCCACATTTCCAATTGTGGCCGGCTTTTCAGTAGACCACAGGACCTATCCTGCCTGAACATGGCAATGTGTCCCAGGTTCAATGTGTTTGTATGTACGTGCGTGCGCGCGTGCGCACGTGTTTGTGTGCGTGTGTTTGTGTGTGTGTGGGGGGGGGGGTGCGCATGGATGTGCATGCACGGGTGCGTGTGTGTGTTATGTGAGTATATACATACTCAGCGGGACACCATGCCAAACTAGAGTGTGCCCATTCATTACAAGCTCATGAACGGGATCCTACCTCTGCCAGTATGTTGCATTATGTTACTTTTATAGACTGCATTTACATGCCGTCGCTGCATGCTTCTCTCTCGCTGCTTCTTCGTACGACATTATCTCCATTCGCGCATGTCTACGGTATTCTCTCATCATCGCTGCTGGCCCTTACCTGGTTGCTCTGGGCATGCTCGGGCCATTCTCTCGTTTACCTTCGTAATAATAACTACCAACCATAATTACTCCTCGTGTTGCTTGTGACTGTCGTGTGCCACAAGCAACACAAGCATGCAGTCACTAAGTGTAATTAGGTACAACAGTTACCGGCATCAGTAATATGCACTGCAGTCTGCAGTGTTGTAATGATCAAATTTACCATGGCTAAGATCTACTGTCGTGAACAATGAAATCAGATGGGATGATCCGGACCGGCACCCTCACATCTGTTTGCACGTACACACACTATAGTTTATGTACTGACTGTAAAAATGGATCAGCAGTGCTCGCGGCTGCAAGGCCAGTGCCCAGTGGCCGCTTGACTTCTCAACGGATTTCAAAGTCCACGACAGAAGTACATTGAAATGTAGATAAATGGAGGTGGCAAACGTCACGGACCCTGATTCTGTGGCGATACTGCACCCAGAGATCACTACTGGCCGTGCTCATGGGCAGGCACAAGAGTATGGTAACGCCCGCTGGGGTGGGGGTACCTGAGTCCTCTGAGGCTCTGGATTCGGATGAGCAGATCCTGAGTTTGGATTTGCCACGAGCGCAGTGCCACACAGTGTTCAAGGGGGGGGGGGGGCAACAGCAAATTGCTGTGCCGGTCTGGGACAGTACAGGCACGTGTTGACTGCATATGATTTCTGGTTTCATATCCTAACACTTTGTATGAAGTCAGCATTCATGCAGTACTTCAAGTATAAAGCATCTTGAATAGTGACGTAATTAAGTACCGGTAATCGGGTACAGAAAACATTAGAGTGACCTGGGAGCAAGTAGTAGTGATGTCATAACAGTACATCCGTTAACTACTAGTGATGTCATAGCAGTATAGCCGGTAAGTAGTACTGATGTCATAGCCAATATTTTGCTTGTAATAAACTTAAAAATATTCACAATAAAGTCCCTCTCCATGCTTCCAGGATGGTGGAACGGACGGAACTTGAAATAGAAACAAACTGTGAACGGGCCTAGCTGAGAAAGAAAAAGAACTTCTTGGTGATGGCTCGGAAAAATGCACATTAGCTATGAGAGTCGACACTGATAAGTCTGGTGGATTGAACAGTGCGATGTCGTTAACCACCCATTATAGAACACAGATTGGGCCGAGCTAGGGCACTAGTAAATTTGCCACAAAAAACCCATAGCTATGTGAATAAAAATAATAATATCAGCGGCATACTTGAAGTAGTGAGGGTAGGTAAGTGTAATTTGTCATGTGACCAGTATTGATGGTGGATATGCTAAAATACATATACATGTAGAGTAGTGATGATACTAGCATTGAAACTGGAGAATGGGACGGTCAAGGGTGCACTGTGAGGAGACTAGCATGGAAACTGGAGAATGGGACGGTCAAGGGTGGACTGTATTGTATTGTATTGTATTTATTTAAAAGGATTCTCCAAAAGCAAATGGATGCTTATCACGGAAGTCTCCCACATAAATATCGCAAGAAAAATGGAGAAATGGGGAGAGGAGAGTGGAAGATGAAGCATGGGAAGAAGGGAAACAAGTACCTAAATATCGAGGTATAAAAGCAGGAAAGAAATCGACGAGGGAAGAAATCACCTCTGCAGATAATAGCGGGACATTTAGATGAAAAAAAAACCCCAGCAAGGATTAATTTCAAGGAAAAAAAATTCTCAAACGGAAAAGTTCGGAATTCCAGTCAGAGAATATCTATGCTGAGAGTAATGAGCCTTTAGAGCAATGCGAAAATTGACAGAGGACTGAACGCAGCGGATGTGTTCTGGAAGTTTGTTCCATTCCACAGATAAACTGTGAGATAAACTGTGAGGAGACTAGCAACAGCAGTGAGGATGCGCACATGCACTGCCGACTTAACCTTTTTACTGGCATTTCTTCGGTTCGTCCGGAATCAGAACGTTGGCTGGGGTGGTGCCAAGTAGCATGGAATGGCGCTCGTACGACTTTGATTTACGGAAGTGACTGTCCGTGCCATGCAGCAAATCAAAGATTCCCAGTATGCCAAAGTCCTCGTTGAACCTGCATAGCAGCAGCCAACATAAACAAAAATAGTGTCAGTTTTTATAATTATGTTAGGACAGGCACAGTCACAATGGGACGATCGGATCAAGTCGACAACGACAAGGAATCTCAGAGGTTCGGTATAGGATAAGGTAAAGCAAGCAAGACAAAGACGAGGCAAGGCAAGCAAGACAAGGCTAGGCAAGGCTAGAAAAGGGGGAGAGCAAATGTTCCAGCAAGAGTTTATCTAGGGCCTGGGTAGCTATGGAGATAAATGTGCTAAAGCGCGAGTCCAGCTACCCAGGCCAAAGAAAGAAAAGATTAGGAAAAGCAACAAGGGTGAGTACGAGGCTGTGAAGGTGAGTACGTCGAGTGCGCGCCTGAAAAGGTGAGTACGAGAGTGAATGTGAGTGCGCGCCCGAAAAGGTGAGTTCGCGCCTGTAAAGGTGAGTACGAGAGTAAAGGTAAGTTCGCGCCTGAAAAGGTGAGTACGAGAGTGAAAGTGAGTGCGCGCCCGAAAAGGTGAGTTCGCGCCTGTAAAGGTGAGTACGAGAGTGAAAGTGAGTGCGCGCCCGAAAAGGTGAGTACGAGAGTGAAAGTGAGTGCGCGCCCGAAAAGGTGAGTACGAGAGTGAAAGTGAGTGCGCGCCTGTAAAGGTGAGTTCGAGGGTGCGAGTGCGTACGAGTGTGCGAGTGCGTGCATATGTGAAATCGTGAACCTAACAATTATACGAGGTACACAAACTCGCCAGCAGGCACATGGGGCTAGCATTGAGTCAGCAGTGAGATGGTGCTGGTAGGGCCTGCCATGCTCAACTGACCAGAGGTCTCGGCATCATCGAATGGCAGACTCACCAAACTGAGGGCATTGTGGTGCATTGGATCAGAATCAGACAATACCTATAGGAACATTCATGGTCAGAAGAGACAACAACGATGACACTGGTATGCAAGTGAACTGCTGGAAACAGGGAGCATTTCTTTTCCGTTGTTGGCAGGGACTGGGAGAGAAATCCAGCCAATGCCATGGATACATGTACAGTTTTTTTTTTTTTTTTTAAATGTTTATTTGAATTCGGATAGCTCAACAGTACAGAAGTACAACTACAAAGAGTACCGAATAGAAGGCCCCGAGAACGGGAAACCAAAAAAAAAAACAAAAAAAACAAAAACAGCAACATCAAGTTACTGATTATGCACATTGCTTGAAAGCAAATCACAACAATGATTAAGAGTTAAGCTGTCTTTTAGCCAAATAGCCAATTTGACGCGGAAATCTGCGATAGTAGTGCAGGACTTCAGGTCGTCTGGTAAATAATTCCAAACAAGAGCCGATTTACTTGAAAAGGACAGAAAGCCAGACATAGATCTATAGCGATTGATACTCATGTTATGAGTTGTAGAGCCGCGAGTAGTTCGGGTAGACGTACAGATGGGAAAGAGGGACTGCAAGCAAACAGCCGGCTTAATACAGTAACAGTGGAAAATGAATACAAGGAACAAAAATACTGATCGATATTGGAAAGAGGAAACATTGAGGTGGTGAAGAAGTGGCGTGATATTAGCTTGGGGTGATGCGCCACAAGCAACTCGTACAGCGCGCCGGTGGAGTGAGGCTAGCTTGTTTCTATTTTTAGCGGATATAAACGAAAGGTATACAGGGAGAGCATATTCTAGATCAGGCTGAATAACACCGACAACGAAAGTACGGCGGGCAAACAGGTTCATCTGGCGGAAAGATCGACGCAGTACACCGATCTTCCGTGAGGCTTTCCGGACGACATTGTTAATGTGTTGGTCAAAGGACAGCTTATTGTCAACAACGACTCCTAAGCATCTGGTGCTTTCCACTTCCCCTAGCGTAACATTTGACAAGGTGATTTGCAGTTGTTGCCTTTGTTGTTGTTGCTGACTCCCTGTGGCACGTTTGGGATGGATTTGCATGACAACGGTTTTGTCGGTATTTATCTGCATACCAATGGAGCCAAGGTGGTGGTTTAGTATCTCCAGTGCCGATGACAACTTGGCTTCGGAACGCGCCTTCGACGGATCACTAGAGTAGACTGTCTTGTCATCTGCGAACATCAGTAGTTTTGAACCCGCTGTCTCCGCAAGCCGGGGAAGGTCCCTCAGGTAGACATTAAAGAGGGTAGGGCCTAAAATACTTCCCTGAGGAACTCCTCGAGACACTGCAAGACTTGAAGACTGGCTGGCTTGCGTGACGACACGCTGAGATCTCCCGGCGAGGTACGACGCAAACCAACGCAGGGCGCTTGCATGAACACCCATGCCATGGAGCGCAACGAGTAACTGTTGATGCTGGACGCGATCAAACGCCTTGCTGAGGTCGACAAAGGCTACACTGGTAGTCTCTCCGTGGTCCTGGGCCAGTTTCCAATCATTTACAGCAAGTGTGAGCAGTTGTGTCGTGGAACGAGCTGGTCGGAACCCAAATTGGTGATCGTGGAGGTGATTTTCGATGGTCAAACTGTTACATACCTGATTTAGAACCAGGCGTTCCAGAGTCTTAGCCAGAATTGACGTGAGTGACACAGGACGATAGTTCGAAGGAGAAGTAGGATCGCCCTTACGGGATTTCAATATCGGCGTGACATTAGCCAACTTGAATTGTGTCGGGAACACAGCAGTGCACAAAAAGGTATTAAATATTAGGGTGAGGGAGAAGGCGATAACTGGTGCAACGGCCTTCAGGATGCTCGGGAGGAGACCATCTGGCCCAGGCGCTTACACAGTGACATGGTGGCTGTCACAATCGCATTCATGCATTTACAGTCATTAGAGGGTCTACCAGCATAGCACTGAACTAAAACAGTCCGCCGCTCTGCACTCTGCACTCTGCAGTCGAGTCGAGCACAGCACAGACTGTGCACTGCAGAGTGCAGGTCTGGCAGCAGAGCATGTTCCGTGTACAAGGCTTGTACAGCTACCGGTAGCAGTGGCAGTGCATGCTACCCACGCACAGTAGAGCTGCCGGTAGCAGTGGCAGTGCATGCTACCCATGCACAGTACAGCTACCGGTAGCAGTGGCAGTGCATGCTGCCCAAGCACAGTACAGCTACTGGTAGCAGTGGCAGTGCATGCTACCCATGCACAGTACAGCTACCGGTAGTGTAGCGGGCCTGGAGGCAAAACAACCTAACAACTCGAAACTAACTAACATTAACAATTATTCTCTCTCTCTCTCTAGAACGGCAAAACTGTCTTTAGCAATAAAACTCTGAACTCATTGTGAAAGATAAAATAAACAGAATTTATGGAAAATAATCACAAACATCAACGTACTGTCATGCGACCGTTGTATGGTAGAACGAACGTCGTAATGAACAGTACGCTGAGCGTATACGCAAATGCTGAGCTGGAAGCGAACGTCGTATCGAACAGTACGCTGAGCATATACGCAAATGCTGAGCTTTTAGCGTGACCAACGCGTGACCAACGCTACACCTCCCCTCTCAAAGACAATCACGTCCTCGTGATTAGTAGCGGGTTGGTGGTCGAAACATTTGGCGGTATGCATGGTCACGTCGGGACAACCTCGACGAAAGAACATCCGGTCTCTCCGGAGGCGTGGGTTCGAATCCCACCGCTGCCACCAATTTTGTAGCGGGCCTGGAGGCAAAACAACCTAACAACTCGAAACTAACTAACATTAACAAATATTCTCTCTCTCTCTCTAGAACGGCAAAACTGTCTTTAGCAGTAAAACTCTGAACTCATTGTGAAAGATAAAATAAACAGAATTTTTATGGAAAATAATCACAAACAGCAACGTACTGTCATGCGACCGTTGTATGGTAGAACGAACGTCGTAATGAACAGTACGCTGAGCGTATACGCAAATGCTGAGCTTGTAGCGTGACCAACGCGTGACCAACGCTACAGTAGCAGTGGCAGTGCATGCTGCCCAAGCACAGTACAGCTACCGGTAGCAGTGGCAGTGCATGCGACCCATGCACAGTACAGCTACTGGTAGCAGTGGCAGTGCATGCTGCCCAAGCACAGTACAGCTACTGGTAGCAGTGGCAGTGCATGAGCAGCATGCACAGTACAGCTACCGGTAGCTGTACTCTGCATGCTGCCCATGCACAGTACAGCTACTGGTAGCTGTACTGTGCATGCTGCTCATGCACAGTACACTAGCAGTGGCAGCGCATGCTGCCCAAGCACAGTACAGCTACCAGTAGCAGTGGCAGTGCATGCTACCCATGCACAGTACAGCTACCGGTAGCAGTGGCAGTGCATGCTGCCCATGCACAGTACAGCTACCGGTAGCTGGTATAGCATTAGCCGGATTTTTTGGCCACGACTGTATTCTTATCTGTGGAAATTTCGAAAAGTTAGCACGTGGCTTTATACATGCAGTCAGAACATTGGGGGGGGGGGGATTTCCTTTTAGGGGTACATCAGGGGGGGGGGCAAGTCAGATTTTTGCGTTCACCGCCTCCCATGTATGTGCAAGGTATTAGTACAGCTACCAATCAATGCAGAATGCACACACTACACTACTAACTTTGCGTGATGGTAGTCATCGTACTCGTTGGACGGCTTGAACGGCAAGTGGAAGCAGCAGTGTGTGACGGACACGGAGGCCAGCGAGATGCAGGCCCACAGCAGCAGCAGCATACAGTGAGAGCCGAGCAGGACGGGACCAGCCATTACCGGTAATATCTTTGAGAGGAAATGCTCGACCGGGTGACAGTACAGGACAGAGATGCTGATCGGCGCAGTCTACTCGTGGTGAACCTTGTGGATGTGTTTATACCACAAGGGAATGTGAAGTGCCCTAGAGAAACACAAAGCAAAAGAGGGAGAGAGAGAGAGAGAGGGAGAGAGAGAGAGAGAGAGAGAGAGAGAGAGAGAGAGAGAGAGAGAGAGGGAGAGAGACAGGGAGAGAGAGAATGTGTGTGTGTGTGTGTGTGTGTGTGAGAGAGAGAGAGAGAGAGAGAGAGAGAGAAAGAGAGAGAGAGGGAGAGAGGGAGGGAAAGAGAATGTGTGCAGGGCGCGAAATAACGGTCGGACATCGGACAATTTCCGACCGTTTACGGTCAGTTTCCGGATGTTTTGTACATATCCGGACAAAGTGTCCGCGCACCTTTTTGCAAAGCACAAAAAAGAAAAGGCACTTCAATCTTTTGTCTCATAGTCATTAGTGATGTCGTCTGGCAAGAGAAAGCCAAGCACCGCTGATGCGGGTGCTCCTCTTGGAAAGAAGCCCAGAGGAGTCAAGACGACCACTTGTGACAAGTGGGTCGCCGAGTATGATAGGGAGCTTTCAACTACTTCTGTTTGGCTGAGCTATGAGCGCAGTCCCTCAGATCGTAGCGTTGTCGAAAATTTGAAGTGTAAGATGTGTTCCCGTTTTGTTGATAAATTTCGCAGCAGCAAGAATTTTTCTGACTCCTTCGTACTCCTTCGTCATTGGCTCAAGGAACCTGAAAACGTCAGCCTTCTAAGATCATGCTGCTTCTGAAATGCATCGTCGTGATAACATTTCGATGGTATTAATTCTACACTGAACATTGTGTGATTTGATGTGAAAGTTGCATGTCCGGACATGTCCGGCCATTTTTGCAACTGGCAGGACATTGTGTCAGAGCACATTTTAATCCTTAGCGCATGCCCTGGTGTGTGTGTGTGTGTGAGAGAGAGAGAGAGAGAGAGAGAGAGAGACAGAGAGAGAGACAGAGGCAGAGAGAGAGAGAGACAGAGACAGAGAGAGAGAGAGAGAGAGAGAGAGAGAGAGAGAGAGAGAGAGAGAGAGAGAGAGAGAGAGAGAGAGAGAGAGAGAGAGAGAGAGAGAGAGCGGCTTTCCTACTTCAGATTTTATTTCCGTGAGAGGCAACCCCGAAATACTGAAAAAAACAAATGTGAAATGCAACCCCCACCAGTTCCTTGCATGGATAGCATTTTTCTCACAATGTAGTGGACATTATGCGTGGAGTGTTAGGAATGAAATGGATATTGCAACCAACACAGGTTATTTTGCAGTCCACAATCGCCATCAGTCACATGCCACGGGCACCCTCCAAACTTCTTCCCCAAATTTAACCCTTTCCAACATTCTCCTTCCGTCTTTGTGAAGATACCCTGACACAACTAGATTTGTAGATGCAACTGTGCAGTGCTTACACCACTCACTGCATGAATCAACCGTACACGCTGGCCCTTTCCGTTCTGGACCAGGCCGTTCAGTGGTGAAAACATGTCTTTCAGCTTGGCATTGGCCACCTGTCCGTGCTTCCATCATCATTATCATCACTCATTGCTGGAACGGTTCAGGATACCGAGCGGTGATGAACTCGTCAGGCAAGCTGGCCTTCATGATGCTGCCTTTGTACGGCCGCCAGGTTAGGTTGGAGATATCGGCCGTTCCCTTCACCAACACCGTCGTTACCAGTTCATTGTTGTAAGCCTCTACTCGTAACGAACACTGTTCTCGCCAGTCCCACACACTCCCACTATCCCGGTATGTACCAGTGCGCACGGCACAGATGTGATGACTTTGTTGCCAGCCATCTGATCAGTCTGCCATCCATGTCCGCCATCACCGTTGCTATCATCATCGGTAGGTCAGCCAGTTGCAAACCTACCTCCAGTTGACCAAGACCATAGCAGACAGCCTCGGTGTTGATGTTGAACATTCACACACGTCTGGATTTGTTTGAACTTTGAATGGGTTTTCCAAGTTGCCAATCGGTGCTTGGTTTGGCTCACCCCTACTACTAGCCAGCCACTGATCTACCTCGGACTTCGTCGGATCATGAGTCAATGACCTGTACTTGCATCCACGATCATCCGAAACTCGCCACCACCAATGGCCGCATCAGCCTCCTTCACCGGTTGCTCGGCGAAACTGGGCGAAACTGAAGCAAAAGCGAGAAAAGCGAACACAACTACCATTGCCATGCCAACCCACCACACGTCTCGTCTTTCCTACACCTACTCCAAGTCCAAGGGACAGAGCGCATGCGTAACACTGACATTATCATTATGTAGAGACATCATTATGATTGTACAGACATGATAATTATGAATCATGTAGATCTCCATAAGTCATTCTACATTCTACCAAGAGTACATAAGGCCAAGTAAAAAAAAAAGCTAGATGATCGTCCCCGTCCGCCCCAGTTTTTGTCAGCGCCCCAAGAAATATTTTATTTTTTAAATCGTGAGTTTTTGCCGAAATCGTTGGTTTTTTACCGATCGCGGATGCAGGAAACATGTGCACGCTTTGTTTAATACTTTCTTTACTATATGGACCACATACTACTAGTATATCACAACGTCAGTATCGATCTGCTGAAGAAAGAAAAAGAAAAAAAGAAAAAAAAAGAAAAAAAGAGAAAAAAAACCTTGATGTTGTTGTGTACACTGTGTGCATGAGAGGGTAAAAAGTAAAAAAATAAAAATAAAATCCTCCCGCCCTCCCCGATTTTTCCAAAAAAAAGGACGATCATCTAGTAATTTTTTTTACTCGGCCTAAACCAGAGTGTGCAACTGTGCATATCAGATCTGAAACAGCGCAGTTCGTGCACTACGCGTCACCCTGATGAGATCAGCCAAGCCGCGACTTGCGTACAGCTCAAATTTTCATGTTTCATAGCCCGGAAATCAGCCAAGTTTGCTTGATTTTAGACGTCCTGTTTCAGGATTTCGGTGTTTTGTGTGACTGTGTACGCTGCGTACATCCACCGACAAGTAAAGTCACCAGGCTATCCGTCTCAAAAAACCGAAATCAGGACAAACTCAGTGAACTGCACCACCGCGACTGGTTACGCAACTTTTCACCGTACCTGTGGCTTACCATGCCGTCAGAAATGACGTAGTGCACGGATTACGCTCCCACAGGAACCATCCCGAGTTGCACACTCTGGTTTATGTACTCTTGATTCTACTAGTACCAGTACTAGTACATGTAGTACTACAGCCTTTCATTGGTAGACTCTACTACAGTGCTGGCAACTGAAATCCGACACCCTGGGAGGCGCGGCGCGCAGCCCAGGGGGTCGGATTTCAGTTGCCAGCACTGTACATAGCAGGAGTAGTGAAAGGGTTTTCACGACTCCTGCTACGTACTTCAAAGGACCGGTAGATCTACCGGTATACCGGTACCGGTACTGCGGTAGATCATTATTATTTTTCTCGGCGCATGTTCTCTGTCGGTCGGTTGCTGTTGAATTGTGTCAGTCGTGTAGTTGTGTGCGGTGTCTGTTCTCCATTGTTCACTGTGGTCCACAGAACGATTCACTCCAGCCAGCGTTGGCGGCTGAGGCCGTGACGGAGTGGTTGGTGGTGAGGGTTTTCAACTTTTCCTAACGGCGCAATGCCGGACAGTGTGAAATACAACATCAAGTACTTATTTGCAAATTTAGATGCTTCAACAATCTTAGAAGACCTACTAGAGAGTGATGTTCTGGACGGAGAGGAATATATTGGCGCACCTGCCAAGGAGGAGAAGTTGAAGTTGGCAGAGTATGTGGTGAAGTTGATGCTGAAGAAAACGGAGGAACAGGTGGATACGTTCCTGAGGCTCGTTCAACACAGCCAGCCTCATGTAGCGGAACATGTCGCCAGCACCATGGCTAAGCGACGCGGTGCAACTGCCAGTGGGAAAGCTGAGCATCCGGCGAAGCCAATGTCGGCAGATCGTGAGTCAACACTTGGCTCGTCCTCCGGTAAGTGTTCACATAATCATTGATTACTGTGGCGTAGGAAGGTGTGTGTGTGTGTGTCACTGAGTGCGTTCGATTACACGCGCGAATCGATTCACGAATCGATTCATGAATCGATTCGCGCTATTCACATCACCCCATGTGAATAGAGGGAATGGATTCCGAATCGATTCCAGGGCTCATGACATGAAATCGAACGACTTGAATGCATGCGAATGGATTCATGAATTGATTCAAGTGTGTAATCGAACGCACTCAGTGAGTGCGTTCGATTACACACTTGAATCGATTCATGAATCCATTCGCATGCATTCAAGTCGTTCGATTTTCATGTCATGAGCCCTAGAATCGATTCGGAATCGATTCACTCTATTCATATGGGGTGATGTGAATAGCGCGAATTGTCGTGACTCGCGACATCATAAAGATCCCGACTCAACGGACATGAAAGACATTTACGTTTCTTGATTGGGAAAGTTTGTTTCTTTGTTTCTTTCTCAAACAAGATCCAAATTTCAACGGAAAAGGGCAGCTGCATCCACAGGCAGCTGCGCACAAAGAACATGCATAAAAATGGCGACCACGACCTTCATTTACGTGGCATGGTAACAAAAGGAACTAGTGCAGCGACAAAACAGAAATGGAGAAGAAGTGAACAGCAAGGAGAGCGAATCGCTAAAATCATGCACTAGCCTACTGTCTGTACAGTCATGTAGTTAGTGAACACGCAGTCACGTGGTCACGTACACATAACACGTCATACCAAATACGTCATCATGGTCATGCATAACAAGAAAAGGAAAGGAAAGGAAAGTCACGCGTGAGCAAAACAAATCAAGAGCGCGAAAATACTCACGGGACGAAAACATAACGAAGAATTTGTTTGTGAACAAAATGCAAAGAATAGAGAAACGAAGGATTGCTTCGAAGCTACTTCGAAGTAGAATGAAATCAATCACTAGAAAGGACGATGGGGAACTAGACTTCGGCTAACCCAAGCGTGGAATCAGCCACAACGTAAGCAAGCAAGAGAGTACAAAATCATCGTCATGTAATGCAAATATAAATTGGTTATTCCGAATTCATGTACATGTATTTCATCGCGACGTTCGCGACACGAATCGATTCATGAATCGATTCGCGTGCATAATCGAACGCACTCACTGTGTGTGTGCGCGTGCGTGCGTGTGTGGAGGGGGGGGGGGGGGGGAGGGGGAGAACTCGTTGAACATGCATGAAACTACAGTCGTGGCCAAAGAAATCCAACCCACGTGCCAAAAGCAGCGCCAAGGCTCATGCGGCCCCTGCGGCCCTCGCATCAGCTTTTGTGAACATGCATGCTGTAATCAGGCGCGTCGGAACGACTTTGGAGGTGGGGCGGCCATGGAAGGGGGGTCCAGGGGTCCTCCCCCGGGGAAAAAATTTCAAAAATTAAAGCCAATTGCAAGCATTTCCGGGCATTTGGTGCCATTTCAGTGTACGGTAACTACAATGAAAGACTTTTTGATTCTGCAAAAAACCAAGAAGATGCTACGATCGGGGACAAACATTACCCTCCCCCGGGAAAAAAATTCAAAAATTGAAGCCAATTGCAAGCATTCCCAAGCATTTGGTGCCATTTCAGTGTACATGGACTTTTGATTCTGCAACAAACCACGATCGGGGACAAGGATTTGCCACGTTTGCGCTTAGATCTTCGCGCTTTGTTGCAGTGTGCTAAAAAAAAAAAAAAAAAAAAAAAAAGCGGCCGAAAAAGTGGGGCGGCCATGGCCGCCCCGGCCGGTGCGGTTCCGACGCCCTTGGTAATTGAAATGTAAACGCGGCGCTACTTTTGACTTGCGGGTCGGATTTCTTTGGCCACGACTGTTCTGCTCAATGGAATCCAGTCGCGTCACTCAAGTACGCGACGGGTGTTCCGCAGCCCTAGGTCTGCAATCACTGGGCTGCGAAAAGGTGCAAGGCGCAAACTTACTTGAGTGACGCAAGTGGATTTCATTGAGGAGTACTGTAACCGATACTTGCTTGCAAGCGCAAATGGGAAGCCATTACAGATGATCAGCCAGTACATGCACGCACGTGGATTATAGTCAGAGCTGACCCTGGGAATACACAATCTGTCCCCGGGGAAAATCGTGGAAAAAATCCCAGAATTTGCGGTGTAATTTGCGGGTAAATATGGCATAATGTGCGGTGAATTTGCGGTAAATATGCGGTGAATACCATTGATATGCGGCAAGTTTGCAGTTGATATGAGGAAAATTTCAGTGGGTATGTAGTGACATCAATTAGTTACAAGTCTCTGGTGTAAGCACTCGTCATATTTGAGTACAAAGCCGCCACGATGAGACGTTGCTGACCGAACAGTGCACTGTGTCATGAGTCAAGACTTGGCTCGTCCTCCGGTAAGTGTTCACATTGATTACAGTGGCATAGGAAGATTGGGGGGGGGGGGGGGGGGGGGGCTCGTTGAACATTCGTGTAACATGACTTGTACAGTTCTGCTCAATGAAATCCAGTCACAGCATCACTCAAGTACGCGCTGGGCGTTGCGCAGCCCTAGACCTGCAAACATTGGGCTGCAAAATGGTGCAAGGCACAAACTTGAGTGACACGACTGGATTTCATTGCGCAACACTGTACTTACTTGTTAGCAGTGAGAAGTGCTTACAGAGATCAATTAGTTTATGCATTCACATCAATCGTATTGAGAGCTGACCCTGGGTGGGTTCAGTTAGATGGACAATCCTGAGGTTATAACCAGATCTACATGATGATCCTGTAGATCTACAAGAAATGCAGGTGCCACCGGCGTGAAGCACTGTCATGGGTCACTAGATTATTGCTAGGGAGTTCAGTTCCAGCCTGGGTCAGGTGAAAACTGCAGTCACAACTCGCGTGTACATTTTAACCCTTTCTGTACAGACTGTACAACTTTCGATCCCCTGGGATCGAAACTTTTCAAGATTTTAATCTATCGTAACTCAGTCATTTCTTTTTTTATTTTCAAAAACTAAGATATGTAGGTCGAAGAGAAAACTCCTAGCTGTCCATTGAAACAATCGCTGAAGCGCTCCGATGTGTGGTTCTGGGAATGTGTGTGTGTGTGTGTGTGTGTGTTTGTGTGTGTGTGTGTGTGTGTGGGCGCACGTGCGTCCGCACGTGAGTGTGTGTATGTGTGTGTGTGTGTGTGTGTGTGTGTGTGTGTCCATTGTTCTTATCACCTGACGATGGCCAAGTGCCGAAACGTTGTAAAATAACGGAACTTGTTCGGA